TATATATATATATATATATATATATATATATGTATATATATTTTTATATATAAATATATATACTTTCTTCGCGCGTTTTGTTCAGTGACGGTGGGCTTTTATAATATGATTTGCGATGATTTCAATTCGTAATATTAATAAATAATACACACGATTACATATATTGTACATAAGCTCTAATAGGTCCCTTTTTCAAATGTAATCTTTGTAATCGCATTTCATAGGAATGTTTATCATATATATAACTCAACAGAATCAGAGGATTATATCTAAAAATGCACATTCTAACTATACAGATTACAGGATTGATAGAACTGGTTTATATCTTTTTTTTTCTTATCAACATGCCTACGATCAGAATAATATATACTAGATACTAGTGCATTAATTGTAAATATCTTTTTAAGTTTTCTGAAACCTTTCAAAAATGTCATTAAAACAACAAATCATGCAAAACAATAAATCAATGAGAAATAAGAAATTTTCAAAAGTTTCGTTAAAAGTTAAATATTTTTATTTCGAACGCTAACATAGTTAGAAATTACTGCAACGTGAGTTATTTTTATTTCTAACTGTGTCAGGAAGACATCACAAATATTATAATTTTTAAATTTATATATCAATTATTCTATTCCGCCATAAAATAGCAAAAGTGACGCTATATTGACGTCAATTAATTTGATTAAGATAAATGTTTCTCAATCAAATACAATTAAGGTTGAATTGAAGACGAAATAATCGTCAATTCTAAATGATATCGCGTAAAGAAAAGAAATATGCCGCCACTGAACAACAATAAATCAGTACATCTTTTCCGCAATGCGTGTGTAGGATTTCTATCGATACTTTTCATACAGAATTATACACGCTTCATCCATACACAATACCATAACATAATATCGATAACATTATAATATCGCGCTAGTAACTCGCCCGCGAGCATTAATTATATTTTTGTTCTTCTCCCCTTAAATCTTCATATATCAGGTAAATATATATAATCTATTTATTTATTTATTTATATAATTACTTTTGTTCATTGTGTGTACAT